CCTAGCCTCTTCATCGCATAAAACCCCAAGGGATTGGCGCCACGTGCTTGGCAAAGTCGGAAATGGCTGCCGCGACCTTAGCGCTCTCTCCGATCCCAAGGATACAAGGTAACACTCCCTGGTGGTTAGAAAGGAAAACCATGTAGAGCTACTTACAGTCTAGAGCAGAGAGCTAGCTATGGTGGCTACAGCGGCAAGGAGGTTCCAGTAGAGATAGAAATTGCAGGAGAAGGTAAAAATATGACTCGTTATTTAGCCGGACTAAGATGAAGTGGAGAAGGAAGGGTGGAGCACAGAGGGGTGTCTTCAGCTTCATCCCAGTCTCGTGGCCAAATGGACGTGTCAATACCATCCACTGGAGCCTCCTGTCCTAGCCCCGAAAATAGCAGTTCAGGTAAGACCAACTGCCATTCTGGATGATTGCTCTGATCTTGATTCTCTTATCTTCAGCTAATCCTATCATAAAGGGAGGAGAAAAGGGTTTCCTGTGCGGGTGCTCATAAGTAGGTGTCAGCTCTATGCAAATAGTTATGATGTTTGTGTTATCTTAGATTAGATTCTGTGTTTTTGTTATTCTGACCGATCATTGTTAGATTTGGGGTTTTTCCTGAGCTTTGTTATTTTTTTAATCCTTTTATACTATGTTTCCTTTGTGACCGAGTGTAAACCTTTTCCTGGCTACGTGTGTGGCTTTCTCTGGCTATGGCTCTTACCTGTGTGTGCTTATCAATTTTTGTACATGCTTTTGGGTTATATTTTCTGGTATCTTACTACACTTACTTACTACACTACTTTTACCACTACTACTTTTTTTTCTTCTTCTTTCTCTGGTAGCTTTTTATCTGCCATTTCCTTTCTCAGTCACTCAATATATCCATTGTAGACACCAAACATTTATAGAAGGAGGGCATTTAGGAACTGGAAAATGAACTATGTAATAACAGAGATATTATTGCATAGAATAAAATGAAAGCCATTTTGGTCTAGTGCAGGGTTCCCCAACCTCCGGGCCATGGCCCACTACTGGACTGCAGCCCATTCAGAACTGGTGTCCCAGTTTATTTGAAGAAAGAGTTATCTCTCTGATGGATTTTTGAATCCATTTCCCCTCACAGATCCATGAATAATATGAATATCAGCAGATATGAAATCCCAGAAATTAGCTGAAGAGGATTTTTCCCTATTTTGTCCAAATAGAATATGTTGTTCCCAGAGATCAGATAGATTCCTTCCTTCCTTCCTTCCTTCCATGTTCCTTTTACCTCATTTTCTTTCTTTTCTGGAGGGAAAGTTCATTACTGCTTAAAATATTTTCGTTTGTATTTGTTTCCCATTATAGATACCATGGACAAAATTGAAAACACATCCAATCTGTTTGGTGAGTTTTGAATACAGCCACTGACTTTTAAAGTTCTATCTATCTATCTATCTATCTATCTATCTATCTATCTATCTATCTATCTATCTATCTATCTATCTATCGATCTATCGATCTATCTATCTAATCATTTTCTGGAAGTCACAAAAATAATTAAATGAACATTTGTGTTACAATAGCACTCTTGACCATACATTCAGCAACTGTTCAAAGTTAACAGTGGTGCTGAACAAAGGGTGGTTATGACTGGTCCTCACAGACCTGACTATCTCAGCACCCTCACCATTTGTGACCTTCCCAACCAGTCTCTCCAGAAAGGTAATGTGGAAGCCAATAGGGAAGATTGTAAAGTCGATGAGGTTAATGTCCCCCACCCATGCACTCTCACCCAGTCTCTCCTTTCATGCTACACTGGCCACTTGTGCCTTGCCATGCCTCTCTTGCATCCTCATACATGCACCCCTTTCTACCCATGCGCACCTCCTCAGATCTTGCTATACCTTGCTTGCATACACACATAGACAACTTTACCCTGCTTCTCTCGCAATTTCACACACCGTCATGTACCCGTGTGCCCTCTTCCCAACCCTTCTTGTATCTCCCCCACATCCTCTGCATGCTTGCACATTCCCATGCACCCTCCGTAAGCCTTTCCACATCTCCCTCACACCTTTGCAGACCCTCTACAAGTTTTGTTACATTGTCCCTGTAGCAAGGGACAGTTACTCAATTACTGTTGTAAATCGGGGATTGCCTGTATAATTACACTAAGAAGGGAATTGTGGTCAAAATAGCTGAATAGCAGCAGTACAGATAGTCTTTAACATACAACCATGATTGGGACTGGAATTTCTCTCAATAAGTGATATGGTTGTAAAGTGCAGCTACATTGCTTAGTGATGGTAATGCAATTGCAGTTGCCACCATGTAGTGAATCCCACAGTATTAGATGGGGCAACTTCCTGTTGACATTCCACAACCAATTCAGTGGGGAAGCTGGCAAGAAATTGCAAATCCCAGTGTCTTACAAGCAGGCTGGCAAGGTAAGTGGCTGCTGCTGAGTGGGAGAAAGTGCAACAGGTTGGATGAGGGTGTAAGACTGGCACAGCAAGGTTCAGGAAAGACGCATAGGGATGTAAGAGTGTGTGACTGTGTGAGGGAGAGTAATGAAGTGTACACAAAGAATATGTGAGTGTCTAGTTTGGCATAAATGCAAAGAGGTCTGGGGAGGGTGTGCAGGCTGAGGAAACTTACACAGCAATTTGTAGCCTTCCCTGCTGGTTTCCCTACTGACTTTGCATGTGGGAGGCCAGATCAATTTTACATGAAGCTTCTCCTTTAGTATTTAAAATCACTTATTAATGCATGCAGTAGCTAAATTTTCTGTTGCTGAGACGAAAGTAAAACATAATTGGTTAAAGGCATTAATAAATGGTTTTAAATACTACTTTTGGTTTGATACATATTAACTTACAAATTGTTAGAGTGTGTATGTATTGTGACCCGTCAAAAGCGCGGGGGACAAAAGCGTGCTCGACGAAAGCGCGCATGTGACGTCATCACAGCGCGACGAAAAAAATTAAAAATTGAAATAAAATTAAAATTAAAGCAAGCCGATTCACATAAAGGTAAGGGTTAGGTTAAGGGTTAGGGTCAGGTTTAGAGCGTTAGCGTTAGGTTTAGCGTTAGGTTAAGGGTTAGCGTTAGGTTTTTCGTTACGTTAACGGTTAGGTTTAGGGTTAGATTTAGGGTTAGGTTTAGGGTTAGGTTTAGGGTTAGGTTTGGGGGGGTTAGGGGAAGGTTTTAGCTTTATTTTTACATTTTTCGATCACAGCGCGATGTTTTCGTCGCGCTGTGATGATGTCAAATGCGCGCTTTCGTCGAGCGCGATTTTGTCCTCCGCGATTTTGTGGTGGAACCTGTATGTATATATGGGGGGAAGTGTGTATGTGTTGATATATATATATATAAATCACATAGAATAACATTCACTCTTCTATTTCTCCATTAATACATTTGTTATCCAGATGATAAATCTAAAACATTAATAAGTGTGTGTGTGTGTGTGTATGTGTGTGTGTGTGTGTATATATATATATATACACATACATACACACACACACACACATATATATACACACACATACACACACACACACACACTTATTAATGTTTTAGATTTATCATCTGGATAACAAATGTATTAATGTAGTAATAGAAGAGTGAATGTTATTCTATGTGATTTATTTTGCTAGATGTTATTTGTTTCACTCTGTTTTCATTCTATTATATTTTGCTGATCGTTAACTGAATAAATATTATTTATTTAATTTGACTTTGCTTGTGGCAAATGGGTAGGGAAGGCCATAAATGGCAATTATGTGATCACGGGGCACTGCATCCAATCATAAGTGTGAACTGGTGGCTAAATGCCAAGATCATCATCATGGAGATACTAGAATGGCTGTAACTCCCAGGACTGGTCATAACCATCATTTGCTCAGAAATTATAAAAGTATATCTTTGTATTTGCAATTTTCTCCTTTTAGCTTGCTTCTCATTCACCTGTGTGGAAGGAAGTTGAGCCTAAATGTTTGGGGAGGGTTTCTTTTTAAACTGTAGTCTGATAAATTCCTAGATATTGCCTATTGCAATATTCTTTTTTAAAAATTAGAGTAGCTTAATGTAGTCTTACCACAGTATAGCTGCCAGATTGATGAATAGTTTGACTATACTTAGTTGCCTTAAAGTATATGTTATGACAGACTCTCAATGGCTATATGCTGAATTAGGCTTTAATTAAGATGAACAATACAATACTATTTTGGTTCATGGAATTACCATTTTATGTATCTTATATATTTTATGTATTTTTAGAAGACAAACTTTGTACCTGGTATTGCTATCAGAAATAAATTATTATAAGTGATAATATAACAGGACCCAGAGAACCATTGTGTGTTTTAATGTTTCCATTCTGTATGGCATTGGCTGCATAGATGACATGCATGGAATGCAGTTTGAAACATATTTCAACTGTGGCTATTGAGCATTTCTTTAACAAAATTAATTTAACTGAAGTTAGTTTACATACAATTATTAAAAACCTAGCATGTTACTATTATAGATGGGCATACTATTGTATAAAATTTGCATGATCATGATAACCAAGTTGAAAAATTGCTATAATTAGGTTTTTTTCTTAAAATCTATTAGGTACAGTATTACATTTTTCTTGACAACCTGCTATAGTTTTATGATATAAACTTTACCCAGCCATTATACATAAATAGATTAGGTAAATTGATTAAAAAATCAAAACAATTAAATTGTTATCTCCCCCCCCCCTCGTATTTCTCAGTCATTGGATAAAGTAATAATGGAAATGAGTACATGTGATGAACCCCGTGCCCCTAATGGACCATCACCTATAGCAACTGCATCAGGACAAAGGTAAATTATTATTAACAATTTAAGTGATTAAGGTCTAATGTATACAATACGTATGAGAAACAAACTGGTTATAATTTAAATATTATAATAGCATTTGGTCATTAAAATAGAAAAAGTTGATTATGCCTTTGAAAAAGACTGCATCAAAATTAACTAAGAAAAGATAAAAAAAACAGATCATACATGCAATTGTAAGTGTTCTTGATGTGATTGCTACACATGAAGAAATCTCCAGTGTGAAGATATTGTTGTCCTCTGAGAATAGTAAATGTTTGTACTAGCTATCAGGACCATAAGGTATTTGAAAACCAATCTGTATAGAATGACTGAAAGGACTGGGTATGTTTAGTTTGTGAAAGAGAAGATTGGGGGCCCAGGGGATATGATAGTGGTCTACAAATAACTAAAAGACTGTTCCATGCAAGAGAAGACAGATTTATTCTCTGAAATAGAGTCATACCTTAGTGTCTGACTGCTTTAAAACTCATAGAATTTGGTAATCAACTCATTTTGATGCAAAAAGTTTATCCCAGCACTTGTCATTTGTTTGCTACTTGGCACACAAGCTAGAACTTGTCGCTGTTGGCTGTCTTGTTAATTTCTACCCTTTCCAGGTGAAACAAATGATCACATATTAATTCACATGGTTTGTTTGGTACTTGTAGTTTTTATTACTTATCACACTTCTTGAAACCAATTAATGATAAGTACCCAGGTACCACTTTAGAGAGGAATAAAACCAAACTAAGACTGGAATTGAAAGACTCAGGCCGAATATTATGAGGAATTTCCTTACAGTAAGATCTTAACCGATGGAATAATTTGTTCAAAGCAGAAATAGACTAGTAGTGTTCTACAGATCTAAGGGGAAAGGTGCAGCAGAGAGCTTAATAATATGCATGTAACACCTGTCTGCATTCCTTGAACCAAGCATATATTTTTCTTAGTTCACTCAGCAGCTATTAATATAGCCATGTGTAATTGGGGAAAAACACTGTTGCTTTAAGGATGGCAGACATATGGTATGTGAATAGGCCTATATATTCCCAAGCATCCTTTTGTTTTTAAACTAAAGGGATGCCTGATCCTAGTAACTGTCTTATTGTTGGACGTTTTCAAATGGGAACTTGTAGCAACCTATCAGAGATCATTTAGATCATTCTAAGCAATAGCTGTGGACAACCATTTAAATATGAGCCAGCAGTGTGCAGCAGCTGCCAAAAAAGCCAACACAGTTCTAGGCTACATAAATAGAGGGATAGAATCAAGATCACGTGAAGTGTTAATACTAATTTATAATGCCTTGGTAAGGCCACACTTGGAATACTGCATTCAGTTTTGGTCACCACAATGTAGAAAAGATGTGGAGACTCTAGAAAGAGTGCAGAGAAGAGCAACAAAGATGATTAGGGGACTGGAGACTAAAACATATGAAGAACGGTTGCAGGAACTGGGTATGTCTAGTTTTATAGAAAGAAGGCCTAGGGGAGACATGATAGCAGTGTTCCAATATCTCAGGGGTTGCCACAAAGAAGAGGGAGTCAAACTATTTCCCCAGGCACCTGAGGGTAGAACAAGAAGCAATGGGTGTAAACTAATCAAGGAGAGAAGCAACGACGAGAAATTTCCTTGACAGTTAGAACAATCAATCAGTGGAACAGCTTGCCTCCAGAAGTTGTGAATGCCCCAACGCTGAAAGTTTTAAGAAGATGTTGGATAGCCATTTGTCTGAAATGGTATAGGGTTTCCTACCTAGGCAGGGGGTTGGACTAGAAGACCTCGAAGGTCCCTTCCAACTCTGCTATTGTATTATATTGTATTGTATTATTGTACTTCCATGAAACACAAGAAAATGCAATTCATTATTTTAGTTACTGGACTCCTTTGAATTGGATTCTTTAGCAATCTTGAATCTGTTCTGGATTTTGTGAGGATCTGAACTCTTATCTACACCAGTACATATATTGTCTTCATTTTGACCAATTGCTAAATGTTTCATTCATATACACTAAAGTCTAATTTAAATCCCTGCATTTTATTTTGGCAGCGAATATGGTTTTGCTGAGAAAGTTGTAGAAGGCATATCTGTTTCTGTAAACTCCATTATAATCAGAATTGGAGCAAAAGCTTTTAATGCTTCATTTGAACTTTCTCAGTTGAGAATATATAGCGTGAATGCAAAGTGGGAACACGATGATCTAAGATTTACTCGATTACAACTATCACGTGGAGAGGTAAATTTTATTTTTCTTCTTCCCCTCTTGTACAATGAGACTTTATTTTTCACATATCTATTTCACAGATAGAAAAATAATTGTAGCATAATCCACTTTCTTTATTTAGTATTATATAAATACTAGCATTTAAATAATGTCTTTATAGTTTTGTTTAGCAGCTGTACATTATCATAATTGACTTCTGGGATTTTTTTAGGATTTGCCAGTTAGCCTATAACCCTAGTATTCCTGATGACCTCTCTTACAGCCCTTCTTAGTTTGTGAGTCTAACCAAGACTGGTTATTTTGATATTAAAATTATTTTGTAGTGGCTAACCATTTTAACTCAGTTGCTACCATTTATATATGAGCACAGCTTTGAATCATACACTTGCTACTAATTCAGTTATCTCATGCCATTTGCAATTTGTGAAAAAAGTTCTGATGCAGTTACAGTATAATTATGCTATTCAAATTCCTGATTCAAGAGAGGACTATCATTTATTGGTTTATGGAATTCGTTGCTTGGGAAATTATGCTTGTGAAAGCCTTTACTGGGCCTCGACAAGTATGTAGGAAACAAAATACGTTGTAAATAAATCTCAGTGTCATAGAAATCAGGATTGTAGAGCATTTAAATTCTACATATAGTATTCTCCATGGATGGCATTTAGGGAAATCTGTTGGTATTCTGGAGAAAATAGTAAACGTGAAGAATGAATCTTGTACCAAATTCAGGAACCCAAACTTTTGGAGTCAGTGGGCTCATTTAGATTTGGAGCAGATTAGGGATACTCCTAGAAAGTCATTGTGGTGGTAAAACCATTCATCAAAGAAACTAAATGCAGTCCTCGATAAGAAACTTTGATCACAAGGCCAAAATGCAAAAAAATAAAATAAAAAATGTTTCAAGTTCTAAATAGTTTTAAAGGAGAAAATGGGAACAACCTATTCCTGGAATGTTTCAAACTATTTCCTATCTTCATCCTTAACATTTCCATTTTTTAAAAAATGGGATGAAAAAAATTGAGCCATTGAACTTCCAGTGATACTGCTGTGTCATTTTAGCTCTGATTAGGTGTGGTGTCCATTTGAAGTTTTGTGCTGCCATTTTTGTTCAGGTGCATGCCCAGTATTTTGTTTAGGATGAGTTACAAATACTGTTAAATATACAAATTCTAGGTTTAAGATTCTCTGGCAAATATGTGAGTTCCAGAAGCATTGTTGGAAATCCAGGTTACGCTGGAAATTACTGGATTGCTTTGCAACTTTGATTTCTGCTTTTGATAAAATAATCTTTAAAAGGATGGTCCAATTTTCTTGATAAGGGTCAAAGGCTATGTCAGCAGCACATTATTACTTTTGTTGCCACTGTGGGAACATACTATACATTTAAATCCTGACATAAATTATTTTATTGAAGAAAAGTAAGCGTAAACATCTGGAATTGCAATTTTCAGATATATGACCTTGTAATAGATTTTAAAAAATTGGTAGGCACCTTAGAGGTCATCTGATCCAAGCTACTGCTCATTGCAGAATACACTATAGCATCTTTTGAAAATAATCATTCAATCTCTGTTTGAAAACTTTAGTGAAAGAAAATTCACTACTTTATTTGTCAGTCTGCATGATCAAACATCAAACTCCTGTATGATAATGTCTGGTCTGAACTTATTTTCTTGCAGTTTTTACAAACTCATTCTGCTTTCTGGGACAATAGCAAATAAACCTGCTCCCTGTTTCTCCCTCAGTTACATTTTCTACACGTTAAATAGACCCAAATCAGTCTCACAGGGCTTGGTTTCAAACCCCTTATCATCTTCCTATACCTCTTCCGACTGTGCTTGAGTATGGCATTGTACTTTCTGAATTGTGATGCCCAGAACTGAACACAGTACATCCAATAACCTTTGACTAGAACAGTGTAGAATGAATTATTACTTCCCATGATCTGTGGAGTTATTGGTGTTCTCTGAGCTCTCCCGTGACCTAGACTGTTTGTTTTGCATAGTTCATTCAATACTTCCTTTCAAGCTCAAATGAAGCCAATAATGAACACTCTTTGGGTGCAGTTGTTCAGCTGATTGTGAGTTCATGTATCAGTGGTACCTTTTAGCCCAAATTTTATCATTTATTAAGAAGAAAATATTGAAGGATTACACTTAAGGCTTTGCTAAGGTCTGGGTATACTAAATCTCTGTTATTCCTGTGATCTTCTAAGCTAATAATTCTGTCAAAGGAGATATGGTTAATCTGGCATGATTTGTTTGTGACAAACACACGTTGGTTCCTGCTAAATGCAGCTTACCTACCTACAAATAGTCTGCTCAACAAGTTATTCAAGGATGTTTCTTACTATAGATATCAAACTGACAGATCTGTAGTTTCCTACATTCTCTTCCTTCACATTTAGTGATGACATCTGTTTTTTTTTTTTCAATTTTCTGGAACCTCATCAGTTCTAAAGGAATTCTCAAAGATTAATGAGAGTAGTTCTATGATTTCTTCTGCTAGTGTGAAGGAATATAAGAGCTGACCTTGAGAATAGGGAAGAAATGAGCCAGCTGTTGGGAGGGGGGACTTTCAAAATAATTACACATTCCAGAAAAAGAGGAAAGCTGAGAAAGAAACTGAAAATGTATTTATCCATCCATCCATCCATCCATCCATCCAATTTCTATAGCCCACCCAACTCAACCAATGAGTCGTAGCAGTTGTTTTTATTTTATTTTTGGTAAAGATGGCAAAGCAAGAAATGTGGACAGCTTTAATGATTTCATTAGTCTATACTATAATAAAGAGCGTTCCTTGTGTGATGGTTTCATGATCTTTTATGATCCCTTCAGCACCATACAGTGTAATCTACCTCACACTGAAGACTTGAATTCATTTAAATTAGTTGTCATTTACCATATTTTGATATGAGTTTGCATGTTTGCAGATCATATAATTCATCTTAATTAAATTAAAAGTGATTATGAAGACCTTTAGAACAATTTCTTTAAACTTTAGTAAGCATAAAATGATTCATTTTGGTGCAAATTTCACATATAGATTGATAGAATCAGAATTGTCTGAAACTAACCAAGAATAAAATTTGGGTCATAGAGGATAATTTAGTGAAAATGGTGACTCGGCGACTGTGAAAAAGTCAAAAGAGGTATTAGGAATTTTTGTGAAAAAGACTGAAAGTAAAACTGCCAATGTACATTAGTACAACAGATCAAGATTAGCTAATGAAATTGTTTGGAAGAAGATTTATAAAGATTAAAGAAAATATTTATTCACTTGGTATATAATTAACCTGTGAAATTCATTACCACAATATAGCAGTATTATCAATTTGTGATAATCGCTAAGATGGTTTTAAATACTAGTTGGACAAGTCTCTCATTGTTGAACAAAATTTGATGTTAAGTGTTGGAATTATTTCAGTTACAAGAATATTACAAGAGAGTAACATTCATGCTCACTGACTTCAAAGATTACAAACATGGTTCACTTAGGTAAGATCTAAATAGAAAAAAAGGGTGTAGATTCCTTTTGCTTTGTCATATGTACATATATGTGAATTATTAATTGATGTTCAAAGATCTATCACACACAGTTTCAAATAAAAAAATATTACTGTAGTATGTGTCTATTGTACCGTGCCATAATCATGCATAGTCTCTTGGCAACCCACAACATAAAAGAAAAATAATAATAACCGTTAAATTATTACAAAATAAATCCAAAAGTCAAAATACACAAACCTACACATTACATTCTTAAACTTGCTTTTTGTTGACTTGATTTGGGATGTGATTATTTTTTTTAGTTATAAATAACAAATTTGAGATTTTAATCTTAATGAATTAAAATTAACAAATTTAAACTAAATTTGAGTTGCCAGTCTTTTGGAATCAAAAAGAGAAGCAGCTATGCCTGCTTTATACATAGACAAACACATACACATACATAAACCTAGACAAATGCTACTTAATGTTTAATTAAAGTATGTATGTTTTATTATAGGTATTGACATTTAAAGAAATCAACTGGCAGATGATCAGAATAGAAGCCGATGCAATCCAAAGCTCTCAGCATGAAATCATGAGTGCTCCAGTTCGTCTGATTACCAACCAGTCTAAAATTAGAATCATACTTAAAAGAAGGGTAATTCTCAAACTGAGTTGAAATCAGTTTGATTAGTTTATTCAAATAAAAATAATGTTAATAATTAACACAAATATGTTAATTTGATTTATGAGCATTTTGATAGCAGTGGATAAAATGTTATGTAGTAATATAATATATTAGTTAGAAGGGACCTAACAAGTCTTATTTCTGGTCAATGTGGAAATCCACTGAACATTCTGTGGCAGATTTCCAGTTTCATATTATTATAGTAACTCTTCTCTGAAAATTTCACTAGTTTTTCTCTTTTAAGGTACCTATATAAAACTGAATAAAATACTCCCAATGACAGTCAGCCTAATGCAGAGTACAGTGCAACTGTTATTTCCTGGATCTGTATGCTATTTTTCTGTTTATATGACACACACAATTATATTGGCCTTTTTAACTACTTAACTGTACTGCTTCCTCATGCTTAACTCTTTGACCCTTTCCAAATATGTTGTATAAAAAGCTGCAAATTCTCTGAATCCACTTCTCCACATTTATTCCCCTTGTTCACAAGGATATTTTGAAAAACTTGGTGAAACCCTTTGCTTGTTGCTATAAAGGACATTTTTAACTTTCAGTTTAGTCTAGAAGTAGATTTTAAAATCTCCTTTTCTCATAATGAGTATTGGAGAGAAAAGCAGTGAGAATCTTGCTTCTTTTTTCATTTCCAAGGTTCTGTTTGGTAGTCCCCATCCCTCTATTCAGATACTATGTTGGATCTCTGATCTGCCCTCAATCAAGTCTCTTTGAAGCACCATACCCATTGATATTTATTTACTTAGCTAATTTTATATGGACATCCACCTCATAGAATGGCATGATCCATGATGCAATAGGTAAATGATATGTTCCGATTCTAAAATCAGGTCTATAACAGTGTTTGCTTAACCTGACCTGAACACCTCGGAAAATAGTCAAGTCTTCAGAGCCTTACAAAAAACTAATAGAGTCGAACCCACCTGGAATGCTATCCCATAAGGCAGATCTGCCACAGGGAAAGCACATCTTTTCCTTTTGATGAAATAGAAGAAACTCGCTCAGTTGACATGTTCAAAAGTTGGCCTTATTTTTTAAAAAAATGTCTTCAGTACAAGAAGCTAGTTCCTTCTATAAAGAAATTGGGGACAAACCCAGTTCACCATTCATCATCCCTGCTTTGACCATTTGACATCTGTTGGGCAAGGCTATTAATGCCATTTAAATTAGATTATGGCATAGCCTAAATTTTATATTTTACCTATTGTATATTTATTCAGTACATTCCTATACGCATGTTTCATTTTGTTAATTGATTATAAAGGAGAGATAAGTAAGGAATACTATTTTATTTCTGAATGAAACATTTTTTTTGTAAAAACTGTACCAAAATGGACAAACTAATTCTTAAAGAAAACACCTGTGAACCTCCTACTTGTTGGGATAGAATAAATAATAATTTAGACTTGAAACAGACAAGTATCTTCCATATAACATCCAAGACTTAACAATTATCAATAAGAAAGGCAAAAACAGGCTGGATAGTGAATGTAGCAAGACCTGGCACACACATAGAAGAGAAACAACTGGAGAAGATAACAAAATACAAAGGCCTGCAGATCGAAATAAAACAATTATGGTAAAAAAAAAAAAGCAAAGGCACTACCAATAATCATATGGGTGTAATTCTCAGACAACTGGAGCACCATTTGAACACCATCGGCATTGACAAATTTACCATCAGTCAATAGCAGAAGGCAGCTTTACTCAGAACAGTTTACATCCTGCAGATGATACCACTAACATCATCAAACATCCACATGTGCCTATCCCAGGCCCTTGGGAAGGACTCAATAGGCGGACAAAATGCCAACTACCCCTACCAATAATAAGCTTGCGGATTACTGGAGAGACCAAATTAGCCTACAAGAAAGACCAAATGAAGACCAGAAGGTTAGAAGGGTTAGAAATGAATACATCAAGAGAGTGAGGATGATACTCAAAACTTAGTAGAGGAAATACCAACAAGGCAATCAACACCTGGGCAATTCCAGTCATTAGGTACATTAGGCTGAAATAGTGGCGTGGACTGAAGCAGAACTAAAGGCCCGGGATAGGAAAACCAGAAAAATAGTGTCAATGAATCATGCCCTACATCCACACATCGATGTTGAAAGACTCTACTTGCCAAGGAAAGTGGGTGAGTGTTGAGTGTTACAAGTAAATAAGATGTAAGATGGTTGAAGAAGGAAAAATGGCATTGGAAGAATATCTAAAGGATAGTGAAGGAGATGTATTGAAGCTAGTATTCAAGGAAAGCCTAGTGAGGAAGATGCCCTACAAGAAGGCCCAAATGAAGAACAGAATGGAGCCATGGGAAGACAAAGCATTACATTGCCAGTACTTTAAAAATATAACAGGGGAAGCAGATAATAACCTGGCAATGGCTAAGAGCAAGAAAGTTGAAAAAAGAGGGAAGGCTAAGTCTGGCTGTACGAGACCAAACCTTAAGAACAAATATATGCAAAAGCCAGAATTGAGAAGACATCAGCAAATGCCAATGCCTGCAAAGAAAGTGAAGAAACGGTGGATCACTTAGCTGTTGCAAGAAGATCACACAGGCTGACTACAAACAACTGCATGACAAAGTAGTAACAATGGAAGATCTGTAAGAAATATAATTTGCCTGCAAGCAAGAACTGGCATGACCATAAAATAAAGAAAGACATAAGAAAATGAAGAAGCTAAATTGCTCTGGGACTTTAGCATTCAAATAAACAGGTCACATAACACCCCAGATTTAAAAATTGTTGATAAGAAAAACAAAAAAAGTCTGGATAGTAGATGTGGCAGCACCTGGAGACAGCAGAACAGAAGAGAAAGAACTGGAGAAGATAACAAACTATGAGACCTGTAAATAGAAGTGAAACAACTGTGGTAAAAGATAGTACAATAGCAATAGGTATCTTGGGTGCAATCCAGAATAACTTAAACACTTAAACATCATCAGCGTTGACAAAATCACCATTAGTCAATTGCAAAAGCAGCTTTACTTGGAACAACTTACATCCTGCTATGATACCTTTAACACATCAAATAATATCTGCCTATCCAGGTTCCTTGGGAAGGAGTCTATAGATCAGGGGTGTCAAACTCAATTTCATTGAGGGCCGTGTCAGGGCTGTGGTTGATCTCGGGGAGGGGGTGTCGGGGAAGCTTGGTTGACTGGGTGGGTGTGGCCAACTGGGTGGATATGGCCAGCTTGACGGCACTCCCCAAACTGCTGGCATGTTTCTTCTTAATATTGGGTAGACCAGGCTGAAGCTATGCTGGCCTGATCTTTCCTCTTCACACTGGGCAGATCGGGTCGAAACTACACTGGTCTGATCTTTCCTCTTCACACTGGGTAGACCAGGCCGAATATGAACTGGATGCCGTATTTTTCTGGGTGTCCCATTACATGTCCAAAATATTCTAACTTTTGCTTTTTTATGTTTTTGATGATTTCCCTTGCCTATCCCAGGCGGCTTGTCACCTCCTCATTCCTGATTTTGTCAATCCAACATATACGTAAAAGCCACCTGTAAATCTACATTTCAAACTTTGCTGTTAATTACCTTTTTTATAAATAGTGGCGAGATAACAGGTCAGTTGGTAGCAAATAGAAATTTATAAATTGTGGGCCTGCTTTGCAACTGGGAAAAATATTATTGCTATAATATAGTTATTAGTATTTAACTGGGATATATATATCAACAATATTTAAAATTGACATTTTTTCTTTTGACAGTTAAAAGATTGCAATGTGGTGGCATCCAAACTAATTTTAATACTGGATGATTTATTGTGGGTTTTGACTGATTCCCAGTTGAAAGCTATGGTACAATATGCTAAATCTCTTAGTGAAGCAATAGAGAAATCAGCTGAACAGAGAAAAAGCCTTGCTTCTGAACCTATGCAGGTAAGCTAATCAGATATTTTGTGACTTAATATTATTGATATAAATTTGTTTAGAAAACTCTACAGTATGTGCTTCTATAGGATTTCAAACATTAGGGGTTTTTTCCCCCTCGAAATTGGTAGCATCAGTTTGAATTATTTAAGAAATAACATAACAAGGGTTAAAATATTTTCTTAGTTTGCTGTGTAATCTTTTTCCTCTAAGAGAGAAGAACCAGTTGTTATGAACGTTTATTATTAGAATAGAGAGTGTAATAACTAGTGTATCATAGGGAACAAAGTTAGAATTAAATTAGTTTTGCATATTTTAGTATTATTTTCTGCTTTGAATCTCTTCATAACTTAATTGCATTAGGTGACAGAGACTTATTGACTAGACTGCCATCTTGTTATTTATTTTTATTTTTCTTGTTCTTAATTTATTTTATATTCATTATTCATATTGTATTTTGTTGTAGTTATATTTTGAGTTGTCTAGTGTTGACTGGAGTCAGGTGACCAAATTGAATAAATTTAATAAAATAAAATAAATTCTAGAAACATTTTGAATACTACTTTGGAGAAAAAATCTGTTAAACTGCTACATTTCAGCAATGCCACTCTTGTCATTCAGTTTAGTAGCAATAACTGCCAAATAACTTTGAAGATTAAAATATAATTTATATTCCATTTGAAAGTATTTTTAATATAAAAGCATGTTTCAGTGAAGTTTATTTGTGCTTAAATTGTTTCAGAGTTCCATGTCAGCATACAATTCTCAGGAGATGAAAACTCAACAGTCTTCAGCAGCTTCTGATCAAAATGATGCAATTGAAAGACTATTCAATGATTTTGATGTTAAGGAAACATCTTATCATCTAGAAATTTCTCATTTGGATCTGCATATCTGTGATGATATTTACACCAAGGAAAAGGGCAAGAGTTTTATTTATTATCTTTATGATTGACTAAAACTGTATTACTCTGTGTTAAATTACTATATATTTCCAGTTTATTTTGTTGAAACATTTTTAGGTCTATGCACTAGTTCTTAAATATCAATTGGTGCATAGAAGTATCTTATTTGTTTATTAATCAAACTTAGATTTTTGCTCTCTCCCTGAAGACCACTCTGAACAGAGCACAACAAATGGATAAAATCACATATTAAACTACAGATAGAGAAGATAAAAATAGTCATGAAGCTATTTAAACATGTCTTTGTTCCCTGGGAGTCCCAGGCATGATAATATAACCAGATTCTGATAGTCTTTTGGTATATCAAAAGGATTGAAAGCTAATCTAATGGGTGGCGGTGGTGGTAGTAAGAGAATATGGTGGGTTGCATAGCTAAGAAAGCATGCTTGGGATGAATAGAATAGGGCAGGGCAGGACAAACAAAACACTTTATCTGCCCAAGTGTGATTGCACACACAAAAGGCAGCTTACATCCTGTGGCTATATCTGTAACACCATCAAACATACGCATCTGCCTATCCCAGATCCTTGGAAATGACTCAATAGGTAGACAAAATGCTAAATCCAGTATGCAAAATGCTAAATCCAGGTTGATTGTGTGACAAACAACAACAATAATAATAACACCAAACGGGCATAGTAAAAAAGACAAAGATAACAACAACAACAATAATACAGTCATGCTACATGTGTAAATATACATAGACATTACATATCATTCTGAGAATTAGGTGATCAGCAGAGTGATGGTCCAAGGGGAAAATTGTCTCTGTATCTAGTTGTTTTGGCTTGCACTGCTCTGTATCTCCGTCCTGAAGGGAGGATTTGAAATAATATGTCCAGAATGTGAGCAATCTGCAGATATCTTCTTAGCTGCCTTCTGGCCCACACAATGTACAAGTCTTCTATGGAAGGCAGGCTGGTTGCAATTATTCTTTGTGCAGTCTTAATTATCCATTGGAGTCTGTACCTGTCCTGTTTGGTTCCTGTACCAAACCAGGCAGTTATAGAAGTACATATGACAAACTCAATAATTCCTCTATAAAACTGTATCAACAGCTCTTGGGGCAATCTGAATTTCCTGTGTTGATGCAGGAAGAACATTCTTTATTGTGCCTTTTTAATGATAGTTCAAATGTTAAGTGTTCATTTCAAGTTCTGGGAGATTATAGAACCCCAAAATTTGAAGGACTCTACTGCTGATAACGTGTTGTCAAATATCGTAAGAGATAGTAGAATAAAAGGGTAAATTCTCCTGTGTGCTGCTCAGGGAATCCAATCATGGGTTAACTTTGTCCTTTAGCCTTGAGACTAAGTATGTAAATTTTGACCACGCCTCCTCTGGCTGAACTGACCCAGTTTTCTTTACTCAGTCCAGCCTACGAGACGTCTTTCAATTCTCTCTCTGACTAATTGACAAACTTCTCATGGATTATTGGATTTTGCAGTAGTAATTCGCTCTTCTGTGGATTTCTATCTAAATTGGGGTGGAGGCGGCAGTCTCTGCCAGCCCAATTCCTCATCGTTGCTGTTTTCCCATGTTATGGGATTTGTAACTCGGCAGCTTGGGGCGCCGGACAATCCAGCCGGCTTTCAGAAGCGGCTTTGCTGTCTGCCCTCTGTTTCACTTCGGCGCATTGGGTTAGTGAGCCTCCCAATGCCGGTTTCGTGCCGGATAGCACCCTCCTGCGGGCGAGGTCGAATCCTGGGCTGTTGCCTGATCAGGCTGTCCCCTTCCCTCCCTCGTTCAGTCGCCGGAGCGGCTGCCGGGCAGGCTTCGTGGATCGGCAGATGGTTTTCCCTGCCGTTCGCAATTCAAAATTCGCGCTCTTGCTGCCGGTCGCCATTTTGGAGGGTGATTTCACGCATGCGTGGGAATGCCCGAAGGAGATGAGGCGAGCGTTTTCGTGCGTTGGAGTCTGCGCAGTTCTGGCGATCCTCCTCTTTCCCTCACTCGAGGCTGCTGTCTCAGAGAGGAGGTCGCTTTGTCTCAGCCTCTGCTTCCACGTGGCGACTTGGTGGTGGTGCGCAATTTGGATTCCTTTGTTTCAGTGATTGAGCTCTTTCAAATATCTCATATCATGGCTGATCAATCAGTAGCTAAAGGTACTGTAGAGCCAGTTTCAGAGCCCCGTTCCCCTGGCGAGGGGGGGGCTAGCCCTAGGCCCGGCAGGGCCGCCACCAGGGCCTCCAGTAGTAGGCCTCGAGCCTCATCCGCTGCCCGGGACAAGTCGCATAAGCGCAAAGACAAGGCCAAAGTTCCACCAAAGGCATCTGGGGCCCCCATTTGTCCACCTCCGGTTCTGATTCAGCAAAATATCTCTCCGGTGCGTGTTAATGAGCAGGGTTGGTCCCCTGATATTCAGCTTCCCCAGGCCCCTCTTCCTGAGGTGGGGGTTTTCGGGCCTCGATCCCCCCCAATTATTTCTGAAGCTAGTGGGGCTTCTCTTCATTCACCCCCACGCGCTGGGCCTTCCGCCACATTCACCCCATAGCTGCAGG